TTACCTAACTGTCATCTATGTTAAAATCAAATAAGTATGGTTTTAAAGTATAGTTAACCAAATGCCAAGAGTTTAAACTGATTGATTTCCGCTATTTATTAAAGTTCATTGATTGATGTAAGATCAATCAATGAACTTTAATAAACCAAAATAAAAACAAGTTTATATGTAGTCGGGTGTGGAACAGGTTTACCATGGCCCGTATTGTACGGGTCATGACAGCTAATATATAATTATTGTTATAAACAACAACTTTTTAGATTATAACATTGCATAATTAAACTACGGTACACTTGATAAAATCATAAAATGTATAATGCTTGATATTTGGGGTAACAAATAGAATTAGCCTCATCAATAATTATTTTCAGTTTACTTATATATTTTGATCTGGTGATACGAATTTGTGATTTAATTTTTTATTATTATTTGTAACTTGAACAAAGAGTTTGAAATCAGAGCTCATAAAATATTAAACATCTGATTTTTGATACCAGAATTTATAATGGGACATGGTAAGCATTTAACGAGTGAAGAAATAGCTACATTCAAAGCATAAAAAGATATAGGCTTATCTAATCAGGAAATTTAAAAGAAAACTAAAAGATCTCCAAAAGTAATTTAATAATTAATTCAAGATGGGTCTTAATTATTGAGCTTATAAGGGAAGTGGTGGTAAACATAAAATCGATTATTGTACTAAACAAGCTATTGTACATTGTGCTGCTGCTCAGCAATAACTGCATCTTGAATTTGTGCTGATTAACAACTACCTGTAATGGTTCAACATGTGAGAGAAATCTTACATGAAGATACAAACACAGTTTGGAAAAAGTGAAAACCAAAACCAAAACTTACTGTTCATCATATAGAAGCTAGATTACAATTTGCAAAAGAACACGTCTTGGCAAAAAGAGTAGCATCAAGTTTTCTTTAGTAATGAAAAAAAGTTCAATCTAGATGGTTTTGATGACTATCTATATTACTGGCACAATCTTTGAAAAAAACACGAATGAGTCGTAACTTTGGTGGTAAAACTATTATGGTTTCATAGGCTTTTTCATTAGCTGGAAAACTTCCACCGGCATGGATTTTAACAAAAATAATATCACAGGACAAGACTGACTTATTAAAAATTAGTTTGCTTAAACATGGTGAAAAATTGATGGGTGAAACTTTCATTTTTCAACAAGACAATGCTGCTATCCATAATTCAAATCTTACAAAAGCTTGATTTAGAAAAAAATTATTTATGTCATGGAATGGCCCGCATGCAGTCCAAATATAAACCGTATTGAAAATCTATAGAGAAAACTTTCTTGAAAAGTTTATGAAAATAGTAAGCAATTTGAATTCATATTAGAGCTAAAAACTTGTATCAAAGAAGCTTGTAAGAAGTAAAGCTTGTAAGAAGCTTGGAATGAAATATCTATAGAAACTCTAAAATCTTGTGACTAGTACGTCGCATATTTGAAGTCATTAAAAATTAAGGAAGCAATATCAAATATTAAATGAGCATAAAAACAAAATATTTTTTTGTATTTTCTTGTATATAATGTAAATGAGGCTAATTCTGTTTTCTCCATAAATTGAATAATTTTAATTTTTTTTCCATTTGTAATCAGTTTAACATACCAGTTAATCAATTTTTTAATTGTAGTGGAAGATAATATTCTTATTATCTTCCACTACAATTATTAAAGTAGATTTAATAATTGTTTTACTGCCATTAAATAAAGGTGAGGCTAATTCTATTTCCTCTGCTGTATATATTATTAATAAGAAAAACAGTCAGGGCAAGAAAGTACTATGCTCTATATGTTTCTCCTTTAAAAAGTTAACACTAATAAGCAAAAAAGCAAATAAATTTTTCAACCTAAAAATAGATTCAGTTTAATAAGTATATAAATAATCCAATAAATCCAGTTTCTAAAGTGTTAACAAACATCTTTAACAAATCTGAAAAATGATTTGAAAGATTTTTCAACAAATGACCAAATTATGAAAATAAATATTTATCTCTAATTCATCGATGTTTCATTCATTGTATCTCTAATTCATTGATATGTTTCATTCATTATATCTCTAATTCATTCATAAGTTAAATTGACAACATTTGAGTTCAAATTTAGCATTCTAGTTAGCATTTGCTATCCCAACCCCTATCTAATGGATATTTATCGTTGGTATTCCAACCCCTACCTAATCAATATTTTTTTGACTTTGCTCACTTAAACTTAAAACATGTCTCAAGCCAGAATGAAAATTCTGCAAGATTAGTTTTTTTTTGTTATTGGATTTAGTGTAATTTGATTCTGGAACATCATCTGTGATTTCTGATTCTGGAACATCATCTGTGATATATCTGGCATTTTTGAACTCCAGTGCTTAAAATCTGAGTTTATCTCATATTTTCCAGAATCAAGTATATGTACAATAACTTTTAAAAATGATTTCCCCTCCATCCCTTAGTTTAAAAAACTAGTCAATACTCAGTATACTCTCATATCTTTTCAACTTCATAAAATCCTGAGATTCTTTAATTTATTCTATTTGAATAGGAAACTAAATTTCATTTAGTTTCCTATTCAACAAATAATTGTGTATCTATTCTGTTTAATAGAAATCCATATTTTATTTTAAACATAATTATAAATTTATTTTATAACATTAACTTACGAAGACAAGTTTTAACAAGTTCAATGATGTCAAAAACCTAAAATCCTAGAAGATCTCACACAATTAAACTATATCTAGAACTTGTTCTAGAAAAACTAAATTTACAGAGTGTTCAAGTTAAGATTTTTACTTGAAATTTACAGAGTTTTCAAGTTAAACCTTTGAATTGTGTTTAATAAAATTAACAAACCTAAAATATATAAATAATATATAATGTATATATATGTATATGTATAAAAATATAAATAGACCTTAAATAACAGACCTAAAATGCTAATTTAATATTTGGTTTATGTCATGCTTTAATTTTTTTATTTTTTTTATTTTTTATGAATTTTAATTTTTTTTTTAATTTTATTTTTTATGAATTTATCTAAGTATGCAACCCATTTATCTATTGATGTATTCCTTATTGTTTTCTTGATGTTGAGAATTCCAAGTCATTAAAAAAAAAGCATTACAAAACATTTTTACATTAAAAAAAACAATACAGAGGAAGAGAGTGAAATTACACAGATTTTCACAGATATTCAAAACTACTAGACTTTCCTACAAATATGTCTTATTAATCTGTACATGCTTGAGATTGGAAATAACTCAAGAACAAATTAGAGAAGATAATTTTTTTTTTTTGTAAAAATGGAATTATTAAAGTAATATCTAAATTTTTTTGATTTTTGATTGTTTAAATATTTAAATTATATTTTCAAGATTGGACATACAAGGTTACTAGGATGAATATTTAAGTAAATCTGACCATGAAATAAAAAATAAAGTTGATATTGAAACTTCATATTTATATTAAGTTTCTACATAATTTAAATTGATGTAGAGACACACTAATCATGTTGACATTTGTGGCTTAAGAAAGCTCATGTTGACATTTGTGACTTAAGAAAGCTCATGTTGACATTTGTGGCTTAAGAAAGCTCATGTTGACATTTGTGGCTTAAGAAAGCTCATGTTGACATTTGTGGCTTAAGAAAGCTCATGTTGACATTTGTGACTTAAGAAAGCTCATGTTGACATTTGTGGCTTAAGAAAGCTCATGTTGACATTTGTGGCTTAAGAAAGCTCATGTTGACATTTGTGACTTAAGAAAGCTCATGTTGACATTTGTGACTTAAGAAAGCTCATGTTGACATTTGTGGCTTAAGAAAGCTCATGTTGACATTTGTGGCTTAAGAAAGCTCATGTTGACATTTGTGGCTTAAGAAAGCTCTTAATACTTAATTGAAAAAGAGTAAAACACTAATAATCTAACGTTAATTTTGTAAAACAAAACTTTTTAAAAAACATTTTGTATGTAGCAGTGCTCAAAACTGTAAACCAAGTCTTAAATTAATACACAAAAAAACTAAGTTTCTGAATCTATAATAAATATGAAAAAAATACATCTGGAAAAACATAAACAAAATAATATACAAACCAAAAGTATATACAAATATCAAATACAATTTAGTTTAAGAAAAATTATAAATAACGATAATAAAAATGGAATAAAAATAGCAATATGATTACTATTAGCAGCTGAACACTATCAAACTATAAATTTTTGCCAAAAAAACATAACAAAAACAACAAAAATATAAGTTAAGACTCTACAGTGTCAACCATTTTTGATGCGGTTGATGCATCATGAATGATTAGATGTTCTAGGAAATCAAAAGTGTTTTTGCTCTCCTACAAAAAAGAGTATCTGGTCAGCCTATATATGTATATGTTGCTTTATTATTTTAGAGCAACTTTACTGCAACACCATAATTATTGCCAATCTAAATAAATAAACAGGTATGGCAAATAAAAGCTGTATGTTCTACAATGACATGTCTATTCGGAGATCAGCATGAGGGTGACATGGTGAATAGATTATCTACAACAAAACAGGGAGTGCCAGTTGTATAGATTAGACAGCCGTGAATGGAGAAACTCTTACAAATTTGCAACAACAACTTGCACAACAGCCACAAATCAAAGTATGGTAATAGTTGAAAAAATAATTTTTTAAATAAGAACTTTAGGTAAGAACTAGGGGTCTTATTGTCTTCTCTCTTTACTTAATAAAATTATTTATCAGAAGTTTAAAATTTTCTTTTTTAATGACAAACAAAATTGTACTCTGAAATTTTAGTTTGCTTTAATTTTTTAACATCACACTTTGCAGGTAATATAGTTAATAATTAGAATCAATAGTTACTCTTTAGTATTAACCTCAAACTTTAATATATTATTCCTATTACTATATTTTATACGCATTAAAATTTTTTTCATTCTATTTAATTTATTTTTTCAGATTTCCTATTAAAAAAAAATGTACACACCTAGGATACATCATTACAGAATTTTCATCAAACTCTTGGCCATGTACGACCGCCTCCCCAGGTAAATGCTTTTCAAACTGAGAGTAATAATCTATAACAAAATTTTATTTAAAATTTTAGATTTTTATAATAGTAAAAAGGAGAAAAAAAAAACCCAAAAAGAAGCATACATGATGGAATATTGCTGTAGTCTATCTTGATGTATTTATCTCTATCTCTACGCGCCATTGAATGGCCAAATGATAAAGCATGCAACATCTCATGTACAACTGTTCCTGTTTAAACAATTTAAATTTACTTGTAAAGATTTTTTATTGAAAATTTTACTATCACAAAAAAAAGAACTCTAAAATTTACCTAATACTATGCAACCAGGATAATTTAAAGACAATTCCTGTGCACCAGCGCCAAGGAATCCTATATATGACCAGCATCTAATGAATAAATATTAAGTTTTAAACAAAAATAAATAGAAAAAAGTGACCAAAAAAAAAATCGTTGAGTTTGTCATAGCATACCTTAATATACCTTATATTTTAAACAAACTAAAAATCAATAACACATGATATGGTTTTTAGAAAAGCATTCAAAACACTAAAACTGTTTTATAAAAAAATCCTCCATATTATTATTATTATTGTGTTCTTATAATTAGTGATTGACCAAAACAAAAATAAACCAAAATTTTGGGTAAATCATTTCAATACCAAAACCAAAACTGACATTTTGGCAATCATTTTACAGAACCTAAAGTCTAAAATTCGGCTAAATAAAATTAACCTCATCATATAACAATTAATCAGAATAAATCTAAAAAAAGTATATTTAAATTTTTTTTTTTTTTTTTTTTTTTTTGTTTATTCTTTTGACACATTTTTCTATCTTATATATAACTAAAAGCTTACATCTACAAAATATTATCATTGTTCACTTTCAATTTAAACTATTCAAAACAAATTTATTTTCTTTAAAATGTTATTAGTGTAAGCATTATGCACACTGCAATCATTTAATTATTTACAGTTATGATATTTTTTAGAAGCAGATGGATAAGCACTATTTACTAAATAAAAAGTTAAGTAATTTCTGATTGATGGGCTTAAAGGTTCATTTAAAAATGGTAAAATATTTTGTGGAAATTGTCAAAAATAACTATTTTTCCAAATTAAATCAAAAACTTTAAAATTATACAAAATTTTTGGGTTTTGGTATGTTTTTCAATTGAAATTTTGTGAATTAAAAAAAAAAAAACTGAAACCAAAATTTTGGTATTAGCTCAAATTTAAACTTTGGCCAAAACCTAAACAGAATGTTAGTCGATTACAACTTATTATCAGTTATATATACTTTTTAATTATACTTTTTTATAAATTAAAGTAATAACTAATTTTAATTTTAATTATATAATTCCTAATGGGTTTATAATTCCAAAAATTCAAGGAGATTTTTTATTCAATGAAGTAGGACAATATCAATAAAAATTCATAACATTTTGTATAACGATAAATTTTTCCAATATCGCAAAGATACGGTAAAGAAATATATTTCTGGCTAACACCCTGAATATATATTTTTAAGACTGATTTTTACACAATTCCACAATACTTCTTGTCAACTTAAATTTAAAGTTAGAATTAAAATTAGTGTTGCAGTTAGAGTTAAAGTTAGAGTTGCAGGTCGAATTGAGATTTGTGTTTGTTGAGCAGTATGAGGCAGGTAATTTGGGGTGTGTGGTGATTCTGTTGTTGTTGATGATGTTATTAAGGTGTTGTTAAAACTTTGACAAACTTGTAATTTTGATTTTTCAATTTTGTCTTGATTCAATGGGAAGAACTTAGTGCTTAAAAAATATTGACAACATGTGTCAGAGTATTTCAAAGTACTAATTATATTTAAACAGTTATTAATATCAAGATATGTTATTCAAAATAGCAATCAAAATTCGTTCTACACCTCCACTTCATTGATAATCAAAAACCAAAATGCACTTTTAAAAAAATTTAAATTAAATCTGATGAAAAAATCACCATAAAAAAAGACCCCAACTCTGATTTTCCAATTAAATGCTGCAGGGCTAACAAAATTCTTGGTGTCATAAAGCACAGCTTAATCATACAAAGACTCAAAAGCATGAAAAAAATATCTAAATTTTTAAAAATTGGTTATCATTCAAAATGTGTAACAAAAGTATTGCAAAGAATGAAGCCTTTTGATTATAAGATGTAATAAACTTTTTTCAATATGTTAACAAAAAAATGTGAATCTCATACAAAAATTCAAATTGGAGAATAAAATCAATTTAATTATTTATTATGTAATAAAAATTTAATCCCATCCCACCCCCCCCCCAGTTTGGGTAACACATCAGGTAACAGCAAAATTAAAAACACTGTCACGTTTGCTACAAATTTTTTAACAACCTTATGGTTAATACATAAAACACCTAGCCAAACAATGTTTTAAATGCTAATTGTTATATTTGATGTAACTGGTTGTAAAACAATATTTTTTTCCATCCTAATTACAAAAAACATCTTACACCAAATGATGTCACCTGTATTTATTGACTTTTAAAAAAAACTGCTTTTTTTTGAAAATCTGACTTTGAAAAATCACTTTAAAAATTAGTAGTAAAATATAAAAAAACATAAGATTTTTATTCAAAGGATTTTTCTAAATAAACTTTATTTAGGCTATTTATATTTGCTCATGTTGCCACATAAACACCTTTTCACAGTTCCAATATAAAATTCATGCGCGCACAGAAATGGAAGTAAAAACACAAAAAAACGTTATTTTAACAGTTATTTGATCGAGATTTACAAAGCAAAACTAAGGCTTATCAAACAATATTATTAAACCAGTGCCATTAGTTTTATACAATTATTAAAAAAAAGAGCCTGTCTAATCCATTTTAAAATTTTAAATAACATATATATATATATATATATATATATATATATATATATATATATATATATATATATATATATATATATATATATATATATATATATATATATATATATATACATATATATATATATATATACATATATATATATATGTATATATACATATATATATATATATATATATATATATATATATATATATATATATATATATATATATATATATATATATATATATATATATATATATATATATATATATATATATATATATATATATATATAGTACAATAATAATATAGTACAATATATATAGCAACAATAATATAACATATATAGTACAATAATATCTTTGGCTCTCTAATAACTTGTTCAACCAATTTACTTAAATTAGCAATTTTTTTGCTAATTATTTTTTAGTTCTTTATTTTTCCTTGTCATTTATCAACTCATTTGAGCTGCACCTTTCCAACCAGAGGGAACTGTTTGGTAGATGTAAAGTTCAGAACATTTAGTGTTAATATTAAACCATTATTCATATATTATACAAGAGTATTTTAGAATACAATCTAAATATTTGTTGCGATTTGTAATTTCTTTATCCAAAATTTAGCTTTTCTAAGCTTTAAAAATTATTTAAAGAAATTATTGATGAACTCTGAGTTACGGGTACTAATGTTTTTATATTGTTGTAACTTTTGTATTCATTCCTTTTGGTGTTTTCATAATAAACTCTGTTATATCTGAAATTTAGTGTAAGTCTATATAATTTAATTTCTCAAAACATTTTTACTTGGAACAAAAACCATGTGCTTTAAAAGTGACCTAGATGCTTTCAACCATGAAGAAAGTATTATATTTACTAATCCTAAGCGGTAGTGGTGTAGTGGTAAAACACTCGCTTCATAAGCGAGAGGTTCCAAGTTCGATCCCCACCACGTCCCTGGTAGAACCGCGCTCAACTTGTTTCTTCCCGCAGCGGCTTTGTTTGTCAAGGTTCGTGTTTCGGAGTTATAGAGTTGAGAGAGGGTTATAACCACTATTAAGTAGCCTCCTCGTCTGCAGTGGCCTTCTCCGCCTTGAGGAGTTGAATAAAAAAAAAAAAAAAAAAAAAATCCTAAAGATATATTAAACCTGTCAGCAAGATCAGTAATCCAAGTATTAGCATCATTAAAAATTCATCTTTGCTGCATAACATTTACTATGGTCCAAGTAGTTAAGGGTATTTTTAAACTTCAAAAAACAGCAGTAGATGTTTTTTAATATCACTTCATCTTCTTTTGATGAATGGTGATACTGGACTAACTGATGAAACACATTGACATTATTTTTAAAATAAATGTTTGTATATAAGTAAATTGCAATAACACGATTTGTTTGGATTATCTTTATATACAAGCTTGTTTCATAGTAATAACTGATGTGGTTGAAGTTAATTTTTCAAATAAATCTTTTTTTTTTTTTTTTAATTTCATGCTAAAGTTCTTTTTTTAAGTTATCAATTTCCTTTTTTAGTTCTTGATGCTCTAATATAAAACAACGCTTAACATTAAATTTAACATAATTTGATGGATCATTGTTTGAAAAATTTGTATTATTTACATTAAATAATATAAGTCTTTGAGCATTGTAGCCGAAGTTAAACAAAAAATATCGATTTTTAAGCAATAGTGCTCGGTCAGGAAAATAGTCTGAACATACTCTTATTTTATATTTTATGGTAAATAATTTACTATGAAACAATAATGTAGGAGTTGAAAGGTTAATTAGTTTTCTCTATATTTCTCTGTGCTATAGTTGTTTTTATATTGTTATATATCTGTGTGTGTGTGTGTGTGTGTGTGTGTGTGTGTGTGTGTGTGTGTGTGTGTGTGTTGATAATGGATAACAAATGCTTACTCAAATGGTAGCTTGCAATTTCACAAGTTAGAGCTTTGTTTAACATTTTGTATCATACATAAATCATCTTTCCACATTTTTAGATTGTACTCATTATTTTTACAATCGATGATAGAGAGAGCGCATGTTTTTGATCTCTTGAAACTTCTATATGGTATAGGTTCAGTATATACATTTTTTTCCATTATAAACCTCTATAACTTAAACCGATTAAATAATGTTTGTTTACATTTTTACTTTTATTTCTGTGCACATTCTTTATGTTTAATGTTGACAAAATTAACTTTTGTAACTTTATGTAAAAACATTTAAAATAATTACAGGGTTATTTATTCTTATATGCGCGCCTAATCATTTTTATATGCGCCTTTATTCATTCTTATATGCGCATTTATTCATTTTTGTATGCGCCTTTATTCATTCTTATATGCGCATTTATTCACTTTTATATGCGCCTTTATTCATTCTTATATGCGTTTTACAAAAGCAATTGTAAAAAAGCAATTAGAACAAAAAAAAAATCATTTAAGCAATTTGTTTTGAAAAAACAGTTTATTTTTTCAAAATAAACTTTTTTTATTTCCAGGTAAACGAGGTTAAAAATACTTAAAACGAAGACCTTTTACATTCGATGATGGTTTATTTAATTTAGTATTAGTTCTTTGTAATTTTATTATTAAATTTCTTGATTGATTAAGTTATTATTTATCTAATTATTCATTTATCTAGATTTAAATTTAGTTATTTATAATTATTATTAATATCAAATTATACATCCCTATAGATGGAATACAAAATAGCAGTACCAGGCCTTGCGATAAAGCGTCGGGCGATGTGAATTTTACGTCGTCCAAGAGCGATTTTGCGTGTAGCTAGGGCTATTTGCGTCGAGCAAAAAATTTTTTGTTTGAGTATATTTAAAGATATTTTTGAGCGGAATTTTAATGTAGTAATTTACGATTATTTTAACATTTAATAAAGTATTTTAAAAACCGCACGCAGTTGAAATAAAAGTTTGAATTAAAAAAAATTAAATATGCTCTTTATTTACAAGTAGAAAAAATTCAGATTAAAAAACAAGTTTAAATATTTTAAGCTAACATTTTAATAAAATTATTCAGCAATAGCAAAGTTGTCGATAAAATTGAACAAAAATACTTTCTTTTTGTTTTAAATTTTAAACTTAAATAATTATTTTACGGGGGTTTGTTAGGTTTTAAAATTATTCCATAGATTTAAAAATATTTATTAACTGTTAGACGTATTTAAAGTATTTAAGAGT